TCCACAGGAGGTGTGGGTTTTATTGGCTGTGATGCCAAAGAGGTCCTTACCTGCAGGGACCAGCCTGGGTGGCAGCCAAGCTCGCTTCCTTGGAATGTTTTCCAGTCCTGGAGAGAAAGGCGCCAGTTGAGTCTCTACAGCTCTAACCACTTCTGCTGAGGTGCCTCTTTGTCTGGTGTGATTCCTGTGCCTGGGACAGAGACCACACAGTCATTTCATCGATGTCACATACTGTCAGGTATGGTCCAGATGGTCAACTCAGTGTCCAAGATTTTATGAACTTGGCTCTTCAGGGACGGTGCATGGTGTGCTGCTGATGAATGTGGCCCCTAAAGCCATACTTTCTGCATATGAACTCAGCTTTGCCACTTACTCGCTCTGTCCCCTTTGGAAAATTACTTGACTTCTCCATGCCTCAGTTTCCTCATCTGTAAAAGGATAATAATAGTACCTGCTTTAAAGCTACTATAAAATGCTTAGCACACAGTAAGCACTTGTGTTAGTTGCATAATAATTATCATGCATTAGGTGGGTAGCATGGCCTGATAGTTTTTAAGCTTGGGAAAAGACTGCAGGCTTCCTACTGAATAACCATGTGTGGGTGCTGAGTGTAGGTAAGAGAGCTGTCTTTTAGAGCCTCTCCCCACCCCTTACGTTTTCTATCCCTTTTCTAGTACCTGCTCTTTCCATCTTTCTTACTTTTCCTTTGTTCACCAGCCCCAGATTAAAGAATATATAGTTGGAAGATTAGAGTTTGTGTCCTGCCTCTACCACTTACTGCCATGTGAGCCTAGACAAGTTTCTGAACCTCTCTGAGCAGCAGTGGAGGATTCAGGATGTCTCAAGGCTGCCAGGTAGTTCATAAAGGTGGGATAATAGTGGGTGCTGTTACCCTGGGGGTAATGAAACAAAGGAAACACAGTGAGAATAGCTGGTGATTCTCCACTGGAAGCTAAGATGTTACCTGTGAATGTACCTATGTGCCAATGAATGTACCCGTGAATGTGCTTGACTGTACCTATGAATGAAAAAAGAGTCAATGTGATTTTTACCCTTCATCTCTACCTTACAGGGAGATGTGTAGTGGGGAAAAGCACCAGAGTGGGAGTCAGGAGACTTGGGTTCTGTTAAGTGGGGTGTTAGGTATAAAGTCTCCACTATTGAGCAGGAGTCGGAAAGATGGGCGTTTCTCTATTACTTGATTCACTGTATGTAGTGACCCAGGGGTTTCCATTCCCTTTGTATGCATCGTGACCCTGTATCACTGCAGTTGTGTAGTGAGCAAGGCTATATTATTAGAAGTGCTGACAGTAGTCTTGGCTCGATCATCCATTCCCTGAGACCTCCATTTCTCAGCTTGTCTTAGAAAATACATAGCCAAAACATGGAAAGAACCTAAGTGTCCATCAGCTGACAAATGGATCAAGAAGATGTGGTTTATCTATACAATGGAATACTACATGGCAATGAGAAAAAATGAAATCTGGCCATTTGTAGCAACATGGATGGAAATTGAGGGTGTTATGCTGAGCGAAAAAAGTCAGGCAGAGAAGGACAGATACCATATGTTTGCACGTATAGGAGGATTAGGAGGAACTTAGTGGAGGACCATGGGGGAGAAGAAGGGGAAAAATAGTTGGGGAGAGGGAGGGAGGCAAACCATGAGAGACTCTTGAATGCTGAGAACAAACTGAGGGCTGATGGGAGTGGAGGAGAGGGGAGGGGAGTTACGGGCATGGGGGAGGGCACTTGTTGGGATGAGCACTGGGTGTTATATGTAAACCAATTTGACAATAAACTAAGAAAAAAAAAAGAAAATACATATTTTAAAATGAAATTTTGGTTTCTTACAGCTTTAATGTGGTGTGAAGGCATATAATTAGATAAACTCTGGCTTTTCTATCTCCCAGTTCCTTTTCTTCATAGTACTTGATCCCATCTTTTTCATTTTGGTTTGGTACTGGTTTTTTACTTACCTATTCTTTGTCTCCAATACGCCATCCCACTCCCAGGCCCCTAGAAAGGAAGCTGTGTGAGAATAGGAACCTTGTATGTTTTGGCCGTCAGTGAGAGAAGAGTGCTTGCTTGATACATTTTAGGTGTTTCACCAGTATACACATAAGCCCTCATATACAGGTGTAACCGTGCATTATAATATAGTTACATAAATTTGTCCTTTTGACTAGCTAGTCAGTTGGTGGTTCCTCCCCTGTTCCCCACCACAACATACACCACACTGTTATTTGAAGATCAGAGGACTAGAATTAAGAATGGTTATATTGTCTGTCTTCAGATTTCCACAGAGTAGCACTGCTTGGGTCCTTGCCTTGTGTGTGCATACGGTATCAGAGGACAAGAACTCCTGATATCAGAGGAAGCCCACAGTTGAGGGTGGCGGACCCATGACCACGCTGATGATGTGTAACATAGGGTTGGATCCGTTTATATACATAGTGGAGGTGGTCAGCAGGAGGCAAAATATAAACCTCAGAATTGTGCTCACACATATTATTGAGATTTCATATTGCTTTTATTATTTGGCCACAAAAATGGACATAATCCTTGTTGGCTTTAACACACCTACTAGTACTGCTTTCACTATCCATCTTGCAAAATATAAGACAAGGCCAGAGCTTAAATTAAAATCCTCAGCTTCTTATCTTCTTCCCACAGGAAAGCAAATCTGTGTTGAAAACCGTAAAATTAAGAGGAGAGCAAGGATAGCATAATTTAGCAAAAATTCATGGCACTAGATTCTGAGCTATATGACTGGAGGGATAGGTCAGACATTAAGAGGATGCTGCCTGCTAATGCAGGCTCCTTAAGGTGGTGCTCTGGAAATAAGAAAGGCGTGCAAAATATATATATATATATATTTCCAGAAGATTTCTGCAATGCTTACTCTTTATAAGCACTCTAAGAAAATACCTTTGTAGATTGTTTGGCAATTATGCTTCTTATGAGACTTTTGAAATGAAACTCAAAGCAGTTTATTGGAGTTGAAATATATTCATCTTAGCATTTGGGTGTTGAGATTTTTGTTTCCATTTTAAAAACGGTTTGTAATAATATCCTTCTATCCCTGCACCCACCCCCACCTCCTCTAGAATTCTAAATTCCTTGTATTTAAGAAGCTCATTCTGTATATTTGGCAAACTGCATCATTAACACTTGAAAAGCATTGAAACATTTTTTTTAACCTTTCACACATTTATATGCATAGATGTCTGTGCTGAGGTATATAGAGAAAAGGCATGGGGCTTTGATAATGGTGCTCTATTTAATAAATGCCCAGGGCTATACGAGCTGTGCAAGTTTAGAGAGGAGCTGATCATACAGGGAAAATCTAGTATGGAAATTATGTCATTGTCTAATAAAGGGTGACTCCCCCCCTTTTTTAATAAGTTCTTTTGGGTGGAGGTTGTAATGATAGGGTGTAGAAAATTAGTATTACCAGCTGTAAAGAGAATTAAGTGTTACTAGGATAATTGTTCCTGATTTTCCTGAGGGTAGTCCTTCCCATTGGAGCTACATACTTTTTACATCTAATTTGTAAAACAAACAAACAAAAACATCAAATTTAAAATTAGTGTGTATGTCATAGGTGCCACCATCATACACAGCAAGTGTGTTATAGGGCCCTCACCATTCGATATGGACCTACATTTTAAGCAGTTTATACAGTGCAGTCATCAGGTAGTTCCTCAATTTTTTTTTTTTTTTTAATACAGATACTTGCTTGTGGAGAAACAGATTTCACATGTATTTTAGTTTATAGCACAGTAAAAATCTCACTGATTCAAACTGGTAAAGACTTGTCTGAACTAGTTACTTAGTGAATATTCAAAATTCATTGCATTTTATTCCTAGTAAGTTACTTATTACTGTAGTGTTTGTAAATAGAGATTTTCCTGGGACTGCTGTAATTAGTAGATAGGTTTAAAACCAGAAACATATTTTGCATGTATATAATTGCATTGAGTTTACTTTCTTTTTTCATGGGCAGGGGGGAGGCGGTGTAGAGTTTATAAAAAATCTCCCTAATCAGGATAAACTGCCTGAGTCTTGTTTACATTACTTGCTGGGGATTAAACTTAAACCAAATAAAGAGATCCCAGACTTCAAATTGTTAACAGTCCAAAAAAATAATCTGAACCTTTAAAAAATATTATTGTTATGTAATTATTGGACTTCAAATTCAATAATAAAATTTATTTTTAAGCTAATATAAGACATACAAAATGTCAAAATATAAAATGTTAACAACTTAAAGTATTCTTACAGGCCGTATTTCCTATTATGCAGTTAAACTCAAGATTAGAAATTCCCTTTAATCAGTCAAGACTTCTAGAAACTAGAGAACCTGAAGATGAACTGAGTAGTGCTAAAGCATAATGGATGGTCATTGGATTGAGAAAGCTGTAAGACATGAAAAAAACACTGTCACATGGTTCCTAAAGATGTACACTATAGAATTACAAATTATATAAACTAAGGACAGATCAGTACAGCAAATTTATATTGATTGGGTTGTTTAAAAGTTTGACCTTCAAATTGGTAATATTCATGTATGTGTTCGTTGAACAGTTTTTAGAGTGCCTTTTTATTGACAGACGTGTGTAACAAATAAAAAGAGTTTAGAAAACATTTGTGACTTTTGCTCCAGTAACTCCGGGTTGAACGGTTGAACATAACCTGAGGAGATAATCCAGAAGGTCATACATATGTATGTATAGAAATTTATGTAATATAAAATAATAGTAGTCAACCTAAGTCTCATGGGCACTGGTTAAATAACTGATAGTTCCGTGATAGGATACACATATACTTGAGTATTTAACATGGAAAAAATTTGAATATGTAATGAGTACGACAGATGAGTTCAGTTTTTCAGGTCTGGAGATGAGTCTTGCGTTATGCTAATGGCCACTTACTGCTATTTTGTGACTTTCTTTGGAGAGATACTCCTATTAACTGTTGACATTGTGGTTACTTTGCAGTCAAATAAGGTGCCTGTGGTGCAGCCATCACACGCGGTCCATCCTCTCACCCCTCTTATCACGTACAGCGACGAGCACTTTTCTCCAGGATCACACCCCTCACACCTCCCTTCAGATGTCAACTCCAAACAAGGTGAGAGCCCCCGCCTTCCCAGCCTCCTCGATAAGTGAGGAGCCACATCTCATCAGGCTGAGTACTTTCACAGGTGCCTTTGCTCTACGTCACTGGGAGGATCAAAATACATTTGTGCGATAGCAGTTTTTTATAAAATCACAGGAGTTTGTTGTTAGTTCTTTTATTTTTCAGGATTAAAAAACAGAAGAAGAAGAAAAACATAAAAGGGTTATTTTCGAGGATCCAGTGTATAAATGAATATATTGTACAGATACACTAAAAACTCAGTCCTTGGGGTGCCCCCTACAGTATTCACTTACTGAGGTACTAGGTGTTGATGATAGTGTTACAAAAATGTTAGAAAATGACAACATAGGAAATTTTTACTTTGAATGTTATCTTTTTTCAGCCTTTTGTGATTTCTTTTGGCTTTAGTCCTTGTTATGTTTTATCCTCTTTTTGTTACTTACCGGCACCAACGTAGATATTAATAACAATTAAAGTATAAAACCATCTCTATTAAAGTCAGAATAACGTGAATCTTGCTTTACTTCTCTACATTATTACCCAGTTCTGTGTCTCTATCGTTTATTGAAGAACACGTAGCATAAGAGGTCTGAAAAATCAGAATGCCCAATTTCTTTTTTCTTTCTTTCTTTTTTTTTAGTTTTTTATGTTTATTTTATTTTTTTTTTTTTTGAGAGAGAGAGAGAGAGAGACTGAGCATGAGCAGGGGAGAGTCAGAGAGAGAGGGAGACACAGAATCTGAAGCAGGCTCCAGGCTCTGAGCTGTCAGCACAGAGACCAGTGTGGGGCTCAAACTCACTAGCCACGAGATCATGACCTGAGCCGAAGTTGGACACTCAACCAACTGGGCCACCCAGGCGCCCCCAGAATGCCCAGTTTCTAACCTGGTAGGTGTGGGTGTGAGTTGGTTGTAGGACTCAGAGCTCAGATTCTGCAGGCCTCCTTTCTGGTCCATTCTGCTTAGAGCATACTTTGAGGATGAATTTGTTTGCCTCTTCTCTTTCCATGTACATACACACTTGGACCTCAACAGGATCTTTAGAAGTTCAAAATAAAAGATCCTATAAAACTGTGTGAAAACAGAGAATGTAAAGATGTAAAATCTGCCATCACCAACATTTCACCCATTTTTCCAGCTTTATCTTTGAACTACAGTAGACAACAGAAGTTACTAAGTGTAAAAAATGAGTAGAGTTCAGAGGCTGGGTGTGTTTTCCACTACTGTGAACTCCTCTAGGTTAAATCTGCAATGCCATCATTCCCATCCATTGTTAAAACAACTTATTTGAGGACTTAGTCACTGTTGGACTTTGGCTTGAGTGGAGCTTTGTACATTTACCTAGGAAAGTTAAGAATCACCTATGCACTTGTTTCCAGGTTTGCCTCAGTTTTATTCCTCATTTTCAGTCCTCCTTCTACTTCTTTTTGTGAAGGACCTCCAAAGAATAAGAAACATCCAAGACAGGTCTGAGGACTTATGGTAAGATAGGTATTTTAGGAAGAAGGTGGAGTTTGAGAGGGAAGATCAAGAGTGCAACCTTGGTCATAGTGATTTCAGGTGCCTTATAGACATGTAGAGGGAGAGAGGAGGTAGATAATTTATAGGTCACCATCCTAGAGTGGTATCTGAGCTAGGGCTATATATCTGGGAACCATGAAGCTACAGATGACAGTTAAAGATAGACATAAAAGCCTCAAACAAGCTATTGGCTAAAAGAATCCAACAGTGTGTTTTATTTGGTTTTTAACTATGTATTTAACAATTACATGGTGCTTACTATGTTCTAGGCCCTGTTCTAATCACTTTGAAACACACTTATTTAAAATAAATAACACATCATGGTTCAGAAGTTTTTTCTTTCAAAAATTCTAGGACAGTTCTATTTTTTAAAAAGACAAGTTTATGACCAGCTACCATTACATTTATATTTACTGTTTCCAGCTCTTCTGCTGCCCTACCTTGGTTTGGCTTACTAATTGCAATTTATTATCATTGTTTTAAAAAAATTTTTTTAAACAAACTTTCCAAAACTAGATAAAGAATTAGTGGGCATGATCAGAAAATTGCATTTTATCTGAAGTTCTTACTTTGTCCCCCAAATTTTGATTTTTCCATTTTACTCTGTATACGGTGGTTTTTAAATATCAGGTCTTACTTTCATTACTTTTTTATAAGCAAGGACTTTATATACCTTGCCACCATTTATCTCTGAGGATAGGTAGACTTTAGTTTAAAAAGAACTGATTTACGTGATTTGGGGTCGATATCATTCCACTTGGTCACATTCATCACCAAAAAAAAATACGTAAAAAGCTCCCTAGGTCTCTTGCTTTAATTCTCTTACTGTTCTACTGCCAGCCTTTTTAGTTATGTCCTGTAGCTGAATTTGTTAGAACATCGTGGTGCTGAGGCCAGAGTTGCTAGTTTCTAAATTCCTGGGAGGCTGGCTAGTTTTATTTAAAGAATAAAAGTAAATTTAAAAAAGTATCATGTCCATACTTTAACCATAGATAGAACTATCCAATAAATATAAACTCTTTGTAGCAGAACTGATTCTCATTTGTAGGAAAATAACTTTAGGTTAATTTCACAGTAGGAAACACATTTGTTCTTCCCTTTCTCTCACTATATTGGTGTGGGGGAATGTGTGTGGGTGCAGGTTGTAGGTGTGGGAAAGGGAAAGGAAGCTAATACCAGTCATTTGCTTCTCATTATATCTTACAAAAATGTTACAAAGAAAGAGCTTTTAGGAAATACTGGGTTTACATATCTGTTTCTATCTTTGTATTACCCCTTGTATCCTTATAAATAACCACACTCACATAACACTTAACACTTAATAGTGCTAAGTGCTGTATTACATATATTCGTGCATTTTTCCTTAGCACAACCCTTATTTCATTTTTAAACTGATTTTATTTTTTTAAGTTTGTTTATTTTGAGAAAGAGCACGAGAGAGAGAGAGAGAGAGAGAGAGAGAGAGAGCGAGCATGCGCATACCCACATGAGCTGGGGAGGGGCAAAGAGAGGAAGAAAGAATCCCGAGCAGGCTCCACACTGTCAGCCCGAGCCCAACTCGGGACTTGATCTTACAAACTATGAGATCATGATGACCTGAGCCAAAATCAAGAGTTGACTGAGCCACCCAGGTGCCTCTGTACTGATTTAAAAGAAAAATAATGATCAAATAGCTTCCTCAAAGATGTGTAGCTAATGAGTGGCAGAATTGATAGATCCAGGGGCTCAGTCGGTTAAGCATCTGACTTTGGCTCAGGTCATGATCTCACGGTCCCTGGGTAGGAGCCGCGTGTTGAGTTCTGCGCTGATGGCTCATAGCCTGGAGCCTGCTTCGGATTCTGTGTCTCCCTCTCTCTCTCTGCCCCTCCCCTGCTCACACTCTGTCTCTCTCTCTCTCTCTCTCAAAAATAAACAAACATTAAAAAATTCATTAAGGCTATGCTGTTTATAGCCTCCAGCACATAGTAAGTATTCAGTAAATATTATTTAAATGAATGATGTGAAATGTGTCTTCAGTAGCATAGCAGTTGGTGGAGAAACACATACTTCTAGGATCTTAACATGACACTAAGCTATGTAGAAAACACAAATCCATTTTCTGCTCATGTAATGACCAAGCCATGTCATGTACTTGTTGGTATCGTTGGCAAAATTGTTGGTAATACTGACCCAGAATGAAGAATGCGTCTGTTTAAACTCTTTTAATTCACTTGTTCATTTGTTCAGTCATTCAGAAGTATTTACTGAGAATCTTCTCTGGAGACCATCATAATTTGAAACATTGATTGGTAAAACATGGTTTCTTTTTTCCAAGCAGTATATTAGCTCACACAGGAACTCATTTGCACAAACTAACTATAAAACAAAATGAAGAACATCCTAAGTACCCTGTGACAAGTACAAATAAAACATCATAGATTCAAACAGGGAAGAAAGATATCTCAGAGCTATAGACATTAGAGAGGAGTATTTGAAATATGAGTAGAAATTTAATAGAAACAGTCAAACGAAATACCCAGCATAGGAACTAGCATGCAGCAGGTGCTAAGTAAATGGTGGTTTCCCCCTTTCTCCTCTGAGCAGTAAAACCAAATCCAACTAGTTTGTATTGTGTTCAGTTACATCACTCCGGCTCCTGCAGAGTCACTGATACGACATTCTAAGTGCACCTGGAATGTGGACGGGAGTGAAGAGCAGGGTGTAGGCTTGTTTTGCTTAGATTTGTGATCATAAGCAAGTTACTTGGCTGTGTCCCGGTGATAAAAGTTCAGGGCAATATATATTTTGTATGTACCTTAACAGGATGCCTGAATAGTCATTTAATCATCCCAGTTCCGGGTTTTCCCATTTGCAAAACAAAAGGCTTAAAGTAGACAGTTTTGGTGGTCTGTATCTCTAGTCATGATTTTCAAGTTCACATTTCCATGAAGGTTCCAAAGTTCTTTCAAGTTCCCTGGTTTTTCTTTTTAAACTGAGTGGTCTTGCTGCGGGCCCTAATGTTTGGGGAGATTTCTGAATCTCAGGGGTGGTTGACAGCATGTTGGAGAAACTCCCCAGTGAATCCGATGTCAAGAATCATCACTGTAGGCTCCCTTAGATTCACCCCCTGGCCTGAACCACCTCAGGCCCAAGGGGAAAAAAGATCCCAGAGTATGAAATTTGGGGTGCACTGTGGCCCGAAAGCAGTGGTATTTCTAGCCAAAAAAAAGAGGGGATGGATTTGAGACAATCTTTTAAAAACAGCAAAAATGAGATAATCTCATGTAAGCTGTTGAGGGATTAAAAACCTTCTTCCTACTTGCTTCTATGAGTTGAGAAATAGTTTATCCTAACTTCAGAGTCAAATTAACACCCGCTTTGAAGGCAACGCTTCTTAAGTCATTCCCATATGTTCAAGGCCTTAAATATCTTTTAAGACCCAAATGATGAAACTCATAGGCATTTTAAACAGTAATTAAAGAGTATCTTTCATGTGCTCGCCTAATTTCGCATATTGGTCAGTATACAACCATTGAATGCATATTCTGGGTGTTAAACCTGAAAATGCGTGCTTATATATGAAGTGGGCTTTTTAGGCCAGATTAGCTATGTGAAGAAACTTATGTGGCTTTTTTCCTAATCAGAGTCACTTTCCTCAAAATACACTGAGTCTTTAAGTTTTTGTATTTTGCATTTTTATGCATGTGTCCCTTCTTTTCTACACCCAAGGTAAAATATAAACAAAGAGATGTCATTTGGGACTGGGATTAGGTATAATCTTTAGGTGGTTTTTACAGTTATAGGGCAGTGTACCCCAGGGAGTGTGAGCTCAAGAAACAATTTGGTGGCATTCTCATTTTCTGTGGAATACAACTAATCCAGAACAGCTTGACCTTGGAGCCCAGAGGACTCAACTTGATGAAGAGCTTAGTTGGAGCTGAAGTGGCAGAGACCAAATGAATCATATCAAGTGTGACCATTATGGGGCTGAAGATGATTCCTAATTAATGTTTGATCCTCTGAGGTATCACATTTCCCAAATCTGTGTGTCCATAAGGGAGCCAATGGAAATATGAAAGTGGCAGTTTACCTAATCCTTGAGCACCATGGCGGGCCATCTACTTAGGAAGGCTGTCATTTTTCCATTCTACACAAAATCAATTGTCTACCATTCTCCAAACCAAAGTGAAATAATGAGAGCAAACTAAAAAAGTTAAAAATCTCATTATGGTCACACACAGCATATTTACCCTTTAAAGAGTTCCTCAAGATGTCCTATCGTAAGACGTGTTTTCTCAAGATTATGAGATCTTGAGAAAAGCTAACAAATGGACTTCAGTTAAATACATCTGATAAACATGGTTTCATGCTAGACCTTAAGTTATAATGGCATAAAGCATTTTATTGCTTTTCTGTTATCCTTATAGTGAATCTAAATCTAATCTGTTACCCTTATGATCAGTGAATCTAAAAATCCTACTTCTTTGTTGTTCTTTTCAACAGGCATGTCTAGACATCCTCCAGCTCCTGAGATCCCTACCTTTTATCCTCTGTCTCCAGGTGGTGTTGGACAGATTACCCCACCTCTTGGCTGGTAAGATCCTTCCTGCAACCTTCAGCCAGGAATTTGAACACGTGTATTTCTTTCCATTCATGGAAATTAGCTTTATGAATGATAAAGATTGAAAAACATACAGACTTTGAAATGGATTGAATGCCTTTGCTAATATGTGTAGAAAATGACTATGTAGCATTTGCTTTGAAGCTTATAGGTTTATGGATTCAATCTGTGGCTTTGGGCACTTGCTGTGCCTCTACAGAGTGCTCGGTGGGGTTTTCCTTGTCTAGCTTTTTATGAACAACCTATTTTTCTTATAGTTTATTTTTTTCTTTTTTTGAGACAGAGAGAGACAGAGCATGAACAGGGGAGGATCAGAGAGAGAGGGAGACATAGAATCTGAAACAAGCTCCAGGCTCTGAGCTGTCAGCACAGAGCCTGATGCGGGGCTCGAACCCACAAACTGTGAGATCATGACCTGAGCTGAAGTCGGACGCTGAACCAGCTGAGCCACAAAGGCACCCCTTATTTTTGAAACAAACTTAGACATATTGAACATCAGTCTTTGCTTATACAATGAGCCAGTGAAGTACATGACAAATAGCTAGAAATTCAAAAATACAAGAGCATCTTTTGAATGTTAATGAAGTAAGCACCAGTTTGAGTTCAGACAAGTGAAAAACTGATGTTTGGGCTTTCTTTTTTCAGAATCCAAATACTTTCTGTTTTCTTGTTTGTTTCTAAAAAATTCTTACTGCTGTTTTCAAAAATGTTTAAATGGTAATGGTAAAGGAAAGGAAATATATTTTTGGAAGAAAGACTTAGTGTAGCCTATTTTTATCATCTTACTGTTAGCGTACAGCTTCCCTCCACGGCTTCTTCATTCCTCCCCTCCCCACTGCTCCCTCCACGGAAACACTCTGTCAGCTGTAGCAGATGGACCCTCTCCCTTCTTGATCTGGTCCTCTATCCCCAAGGCCTCTATCCCTGCCCCAGTCTCCCTGCCTTGACCCCCTTACGTTCTCTTCTTCAGCAAGAAGGTGTCATCCTGCCATGGAAATTCCAGCTGTCTGTCTGTCTATCTGTCTGTCTGTCTCTATTAGCACTAAATCTCTCAGTCTATTACTGTTTGGGTTTAATTTATCATGCATACACTTTCAAACCTACATCAATTATTGTGTCTTAACTTAGAGGCAATAGTTCTGTGCTGAGTGGTAGCTGGAAATACAGATGGTGTAAATGAGAAATGTGAAATGTGGGAAAAAACAGAGAGAGAGAGATGGAATTCTCCCAGTGGAGAAGGAATAATTCCAATTAATTGATCTTTTATTTTTTGACTGTAGTATGGGTATATGAAAAGGTAGGGGGAGTGTGATATTTTTAAAATATTTATTCATTTTTATATCAGTTTCATTCCCCTCCCTCTGTCCTTCCCTGAAGTTCTCAAAACTCTGAAAGGAGTACTCCCCATTCTCATGGTTCTGTTATACTCAGTAAACATTTGTTATGTGCCTGTTTTGTTCAGAGCATCAGCGGGGCTGGGAGAGAGAAAGGGGTAAAGGGTAATTTGCGGGCTGGTTGGTTTTTAAAGCTGAGGGTGGGAGCTCCTCAAGGTAAGGGAAGAAGTTGCATAACTGAAGAAATACTGTGGTCTATAACACCCCGACACAGTTCTTTTTGAAGCCCTCCCTCTTCTGACTCGTGTTTTGTCATTGATGGGTTCCTTTCTTCTGTGACCTCAGGCAAGGTCAGCCTGTATATCCCATCACGGGAGGATTCAGGCAACCCTACCCATCCTCACTGTCAGTCGACACTTCCATGTCCAGGTAGGTGGGAGCGGAAACTGGGCCCAGGACAAGTTGCTCTTCCTGCGCTTGCATTGTGTGCGCCTCTGCTTGCCTCTCGGTTGGCTAGGAGGGTGCGTATCTCAGCCACGTGTCTGTCTGTGCAGTGTGCCTGGCTCCCACACTAGGTGTCGCAGAGATTCCTGGGTAGGAGCCAAACGCTGCACCCCACCAGCACCAGCCACACCCCTCGGGGAGATGGACTCGGCCACACGGGGGGTGGGGGGGGTGGGGACTGAGCATCCAAAAGCATTTACTGCCACCTGACCATGGGATGTGACATGTCCTGAAAGCAGACGTTATAAGAAGAGCTTGTTTGATTCAGAATATGCTGGGAGTCCGGGTGGGGTAGTGGAAGGATGAAGACTGGTTTGGTCTGAGTTCTGTAATTTGCTCTCTTGGAGGAAAGTTGTAGCAGCTTAATGTGACAGTGTTTGAAAATGCCCAGATAGTCTCGAGCCTTCCTGGACCAAGGCTGTCAGAAGAGAAGGAATGGTGCTTACGAGCTGACAGGCCGTGCGGGGTGTGTGTCCTAGTGTGTGAATCAGGCCCTGTGTGGACGTGTTAGTTCAAGCGCAGCCCTGTGAGACCTGCCGTGCCACACTGCTCTGTGTAATGCTTCTGCTTCTGAGAGGATGGCGTCTGTGCCCTGTGCTTGATGTACACACACACTTGTGCACCATCTGTGTGTTTACTGTGGCTTGTCCAGGGGAGCTAGCAGTACTGTGCTGGAAGGCAAACTGTTGGGCTGCTAACCGGTTGTGAATCTGTACTTCTTACATAGGTATGCAATTCCCAAGTTCTGGGGAGAATTTCAGCTTTAAAAAAAAAAATCATCATTTGCTCAGCAAATTGTAAATCTAGGGAGGGCATTTGATTAATACCTTTTCCCCCAAATATATATTTACCCTTTTAACATTGTAAGAACTCTCTGATGACAGTATTTTCTCCCATGCAAATAACCAGCATCATGTATCTTTGCAAACAATTCAAGTAAGCAGAGCATCATTATTTAATCAAATATTTGTATTTTTCCCATGCCTCCTTAATTTTTAAAAATTTGTTTCTGATCCAAGCAGAGTGCCTCCTTTCCCTCTCAGATGAAGGAATTAATTGTGCTGGATGTGATAAAAGACCTGACAACATTGTTCTTGTTGAAGTAAATGTTTACTTTAAAACAGTTTGAAAAGCAAAAATTTCTACAGGATATTCAAATTTATCCAAAGCACTTATTGAAAGTACTCTTTTATTTTTCTTGCATGGCAGTTGCCCTCTTTTGTGATGTATGGTGGTGGATATTTTAAGATGATTTTTTTATGCTGTACCAAGCATACTAGGGAGAAAAGCCTTTAGCATCTGTAGTTTCTACCTGGTGCAGAACTGTATCCTTACCCTTAATTTTATTGTCAGTTTTCCACAAGGCTAGATCTCTCAAACATTACTTTCTTTCTGTGTAAAAGATTATTTTGGATGATGTTGATGGTAACTTTATTAAATTGGGGGCTAAAATAAAAAACCCCTCCCTGTCCCTTATTTTCTCATTGTTCTCTCCTAATATCAATAAAGAAGCCAATAATATGAGAAGACTTAATTAATGTGGCAGTTTGCTTAGGAATGTAGGCAGAGATACTTTAATGTGGTATCTTTAGCTATCATTTAAAAATCATTTAAAAAGCCAGATCCTAATACAGTGTTATGTTTCCAGCAATTACACTAAACTGAATTTGTTCTTTAAAAACTGCTTTGCAAGAAAAGTCCCTTTTTTTTTTTTTTTTTTTTTTTTAATTCTGTGACCTAGACCCCTCCCAGGAAAAATGTCTGATTCTATTAGTTTGGGAAAAAAATCTGTTATACAAGGAATACGTATAAATATGTTCCACCGGAATACAGAAAGCAATTAATTATTGGCCCACTCTAATTTGTAGTTAATACTCTCACGTTTAAAGAGATGTTTTCACTCTCAGTCAACAGCAGTTAGTGGATTGTTTCAGGGTTCTGCCTCCTTTTGCTACAGCAGCCACTAGTGCATCTGCTTTCTTTCCTTTCCTTCTTTTAGGTTTTCCCATCATATGATTCCTGGTCCTCCTGGTCCCCACACAACTGGCATCCCTCATCCAGCTATCGTAACGCCTCAGGTCAAACAGGAGCATCCCCACACTGACAGCGACCTAATGCACGTGTGAGTATGCGTCTGGTTTCACCTGTGATTGCCTGTAAGCTACTGTGAGGATTTAAACAGTTTCTTCCTGCAACTGTTGAGTATTTCCCCCCTCTTTTATTATGAAAAGTTCTGCCCCTGAGGACTTTAGGCAGCTGAATTTAAGGTTGGAAAGGAGCAGAGACCTCAAAAGATCAAGGGAACCTCACCAAAACGGAGTACTCTTCAGAGTGTGGGCATTGAATAATCTGGAGCTGCTTTAGCCACTGACTACCAGGTTTTAACTGGGTTCTGATTGTTGGGGAGTACCTGATGGTACCTGAGGGAAGTAGACGGGAAGGTTCCTTGCATTTCCTCCTGGCCATGCACTTCACCCTGCTTGAGGCTTCGAAAGCACAGAATTCAATGCAAAGGGACAACCACGCCCAAGGTCCCCTGTCAGGCCAGGTTTTGTCCCAGGCTGTTACTGCAGGCCTCAGTTCCCTGGCGAGATTAGTGACTGAGTTTCTTAATCTAGGATCTGTAGACTAGGATGGGAGGTTGGAGCGGTAGGTTGCATATGGCAGTCCATAAAACCCCTGCACATGTAGGCAAAGCCAACATGCATTTGCTTGGGGGAGGGTGTCTAGAGTTTCATTAGCTCCTCAAAGGGGCCCTTGACCCAAAAAAGTTAAGAACCTCAGTTCTGAAAGAGGAATAACTCCCCATACTGTGTGTTTACCTTTTCCTGAGATAGCCAAGGAGCTGAGCCTCAGGGTCCTCGATGGAGCATCTTCCTAAACCCATTTACATTTTGTGTCAGCACTTCTGTGGCTATAGATAAACCTTCTCAATCCAAAGGATCCTTACTCCCAATAAGTTGTTCTTCTAAGTGGATGCAGTTCTGATCGCCCTCCTAGAGGGATGTCCCCAGCCTGAGTTTGACTGGTGACATGAACAGATGCTCTGCTTCTCTCCTCCCATCTCTTCCTTCCCTTGTCCCTCCCTGCACTCCCCACCCCATACCATCCCAACCACCTTTTAGGAAGCCTCAGCATGAACAGAGAAAGGAACAGGAGCCAAAAAGACCTCACATTAAGAAGCCTCTGAACGCTTTTATGTTATACATGAAAGAAATGAGAGCGAATGTTGTAGCTGAGTGTACTCTAAAAGAAAGTGCAGCTATCAACCAGATTCTGGGCAGAAGGGTAAGTAGCTGGGGGAGGGTGTGTGTGTGTAAATGTTTATGGTGACCTTGAAACTATTTCCTTAAAGGTAGTCATAGAATGTATTTATATAATCCCCAGCCACTTTGGGAAGTAACAAAGAGAACAAGATAGGTTAATAATCCTTAGGATTAAATGATAGAATGCATTGTACACAACCTTGTACCTAGCACATAGAAAACCTCCTGTAAATGTTAACTGTTTGCCCTGCTATCATTTATTGGGTGTCTTTCATGTGCCAGGTACTCTGGTAGGCATTAGATAATAATTGCTGGATAAAATAGATATGGTCTGTGTCTTCATGGAGCTTAAAGTTTTGTGACAGGATGCAGATGTTAGATTGTTACCCAGTGGTTAATTAAAATTGTGGTAAATACTGTGAATGGAAAGAGTAAGATTATGAGAAAGAATAACAGGGGGCTAGGGAAGGGCCCTTGTAAGAAAATAATGTTTAAGCTGAGACCTGAATGAGGAGTAGGAGTTAACCAAGTGGTTAGTGGAGAGAGATGGAGCTCCCCCAGGTACAGTGACAGGTGTGTGAACTCCTGTCTGAAGCAGGAAAGCACTTGGCCCACATAGGGAGCCATAGAAAGGCCATGTAGTATCAGCCAGGCTTCTGGAAAAACCCTGGCAAACACAAGTAGCCACTCCCTCCAAGACAGAAGTAGATCTGTTCTACTCAGAAGCTTTTAACTGGAAGAATTCATATGGGCCGGAGAAATCTTTACTCTAGAAAAATTGCTCTCTGGTTCTTAAAGTGTATATGTGCATGATTCCTGGATTGTCTCTTTTCTTTCCATTCCTCCTTTTACCCATGCCAAGATATTTTTCTGATCGCCTACTGTATACCAGACACTAGGCTACAACTAGGACAGACACTTTACCCACCAGCCCATAGGCTAGGAAATGTTTCCAGGTGCTTTTCTCGGGATCAAAATGGTTTTAAATGTTAGGTATCTGAAGAATGGTGGTAAAATGATTATTTTAGAAATGCTTCATTTTAATTTGTTGATGCTCTTCCTGTATGTGTGATACCTACTTAAATTATGACCTGGTGTGTTTGTTTTTGCAACCTCTCAAGAAATTCATGATTTGTAAATGGACGTTTAGGCGAAGGTCTGACAACCTTTGTGAAACTTAGACGACCGTGTTTTAGCTTTTGTTGTGGATAATTTTTACCATGTTTGATACAAACCTAGTAAGTTTCAACACTTATAACGTAAGACATTCAGGAGGTTTCCAGGCCATGTGAACAGATGGAGGGAAGCAGGCTTTCTTGCATTATTGATTCCTGTTGGATAGAATAAAAATGCAGTTATTTCCTATCTGCAGGACACCCAGCTTTCAGGGGGTAGGGTGTGGTGGCAGATTATAGCTTTCTTGGTGCCCTGTGTACAAAACTCTCCCTCCCTGTGGATTCTTAAACACTTAATAACAGTAATTACAATGATTTCCCAAGCCAGAGCATAGCAGATAAATGATTCCCATCATCTTTGAGGAACTTCGCCTTGAAAGCTCAAAGGCTGATGACCATTCCCCCAACCCTTTAAAAGAAGAAACCAGAGGGAAAGAAGGGTTGATGTGCTTCCTTCAGTTTGAATAACACTTTCAGCTTATTTTCTTTTTTGAGTTAAAGGTCCCCTGGCCCCACCAGTGGGAATTATTTTCCTGCTCAAGAGAGTAAGTAAGGATGTTACACGGAGGTTTGCTTCCTATTTTTAATGCACGTTTCCAACAATTGCTACTTTCTCAGCTCCCTTAACGATCCCCAGATCAGAGCATGTGTCCTAAAGGATGGTTCTCATTTGGGGTCTCGTTCTGTCTTTGATTTGGACACCTGTTTCTATTTATAGGTCTCCGAGCTCGCTGATTAAGATCAGGTGTTCTGTCCTCTCATCGCTCCCCTCTGGCAGGCCAGTCCCTGCTGGTTCTTTAAAGTTCCTGGCTTTAAAATCATGAGTTTTACACTGAGATAATTAGAACTCCTAAAAGTGGAGTTTAAATCCACCCTGGAACATTTTATCTTTTGATTTTTACTCATCACCAGCATATCTCTAAAAAGAAATGTTCAGACATTTGAATTAAAGTTTTCTTTTTCATGGTATAAATAATAATAGTACAAATCTTCCTTTAAAGTAAGCCTTTTCAGACCTTCCGGGCTGTTAAAGGAGGTCCATTTACTGCAAATTTACTGTCAGAATTTTTTTATCTTGGAACTGTAAACACTCTTTTCAAGTTAAATATTTTCCCAACAACTTGTAAAATCTTGACCATGACATTTGATTTTTTAAAAAACGAACTCAATTTTTCAGTAAGCAAGAAATAGAAAAGTGTTTTTAGCCTATTGTGTTGCAGAAAATCCTATAAAGACAGACCATCTTTCTAGTTTGTACTGGGTTTTTTGTTTTCATTTATAATAAGGCTTTAATACCATTGTTTTACTCTGCTAAGTGATCTTTTATCTGTGGGTAGATTTTGTGCATTAGGAATATCAGGGAACTAAAAGCAATTGGAAATTCACGTAAATAGTTTGTGGCCTGGTTTTTCTCCTTGCATTTTGCTCAGTTTTGTCAACCTGTGTCCTGTCTTAGGTGGAAAATAACTGGTTGCTTTGGTAGAAGACCCAACCTCCATACATACTTTGAGAGAGAGGTTTTGTAAAAACTTATTCCAGGTTTTCGTAGCAAGTTATAAAGCTGTCATAAACTATATAAAATTATACTGATATATATTGCTCTTATTGGTATAAGAGCACTCTGACTTGTCACATGAATAAACAAATTTACGGAAAGGATATGTCTACTTTTTTTTCCTTTTTGTCTCCCTCTTTGTTCCTTTTTGGTAACATTTTGCCTCTTGCCAATCATAGCACCAGCGCTGTGTAAATATTGGTGATTAGTCGTTTCTCAAAAACAAACAAACAAACAGATAATCAAGACTGATCTTTTCCACTGTGCCCAGTTTGGTTTCCCTCCCTGTGTAGGTCTCTGGCAATGGGTCAGTGTTCCAGACTTAGGAAAGCCAGCTGTTGGTAGAAGCCTGGCTTAACCTCACACTGTTGTCCCAGACGTGCCTCCTCAGGCTTGATTTCACTAACTGTGCTTACTCTGCTAGTACAAAGAACTGTGTCTCACGTAACTTTTTCAGGGTTTTTTTTTTTCCTTGCCACCTCCCCAGTACCCATCCTGCCACCCCCCATCATTTTTTAAAAGGAAAGCACACTAGCTGATTTGCCTTCAAGTCCGGACCAAGTCCTGCTGTGTGTCCTGCTTCTTAGCTACTTGATACTTGGCACTTCTAAAACAATTCAAAAATAAGCCATCTGCCCTATCTAATGCAGAGGCCCGGGCACTGAGGGGACTTCCAGAGGAACGAGAAGTCGCTGCCCTGCCCCTGGGCACTGCGTGCGCCGGAGGCTGGGGTGGGAGGGTAAGATGCGGCAGGTTAATGGTGTTCTTGAGATAAGGTTACTGGTCTTTTAAGAAATAGGAGCAGCAGGTGTTAGTTTCCTTGAGGAACACTGCGCAGCCGTATCTCAGGAGCCAGGTCCAAACTGATGAGGACTTAGTCTCTTCCAGGAGAACTCTTTCTCTCTCGTCACCTCTCTCCCTCAGTCTTCCATCCTTTCCCCAGTTTAGCCACACCTTTCTTTTCTCTTCCTCATTTTTTTTTAAAACTTGACAGGGAAATTAAAGTCAATAGCCAGGGCAGCCATGAATGAGAAAGAATATTCTAGCACCCTGGAGCTGAGAGTGAGCAGGAGTGGGGAGCCAGGAGCTAACCCAGAGCTGGGTGTGTGTGGCGTGAGTCAGGTCTGCTGTCCCCGCTGCCGTGCCTCCGTGCCGTCCCCTCTGGCCAGTTGGTCCCTCAAAGCCCAGCTGTTTCTCCCAGAAGGTTCTCTGATAGATCCTGGCATTGAATAAGTGGGGAGAATACTTGAAAACTGCCTGCTGGGGGACCTGGAGCAAGTTGTGTGCAAACATACGCAAAACAGTGTGCAAAATAAGCACACTGTTAAATTCCCAAACAGATGCCTTTCCTACATAAGCTATCTCGCTGTTTGGGATACAAAATTATGGCCATTATTAAAAGGGAATGGAAGGTGTGTGGGTATCAGCCCTTACATTCTCCAACTTAGATACTACAGGCTCAGATTCTGGATGGCAGAATAAACCTAGACAATGTCCCTTGTTTTCCACCAGAAGGAAGCTGAAACCATAGCCATGAGGAGTGCATGTGCAGTTGACAGGGTTGTCCATGCGCTCCCTCCAGACAGTGACGTTTCTACAAGTGTGAGGAAAAGGTGCGGGGAATCAGACAGACTGACTTGAGGTCTTGCTTTATAGACTGCATCATAGGATGAAGGTTTCAGGCTCTTCACATGACAGAGTGGGAGAGAGTCTGTGTGAGGTGAGGTTGTGTCTGGGTGGAAAAGACATCTGGAACTTATCACGTTTTGTATAAATACATGGTGCTCAGTCTCAAATATCAGAATATGGTACAAACTATGAAAAAGGGCTGAGTTGGGTGTTGAGGTCACCAGTGAAAGTTCTCTCCAATTTATATTGGAAGACAGAAAGGGTGAGTGACAGATCATTTTACTTTGGATTCTTTAATTGCCTTTGATGTGTTTCATGTGATATCGGAGAACAGGATAGAGAGAGCAAAGTTTGAGTTTCGCTCTCGCCACCAGACTCCTGATGAGTGGATTTCCGCCGCTCTTGCTCTTCTGTCATTTAAAAATAAATCAGAGCCTAAGTGCTTATTATCTTCATTCTTTAACGTTTGAAACATGAAATATATATTGTTGGTACTTGACTTTCATTTGATTTTTGTTTTCCCTTCCTCTTTTTGTTTTAGTGGCATGCCCTCTCCCGTGAAGAGCAGGCTAAATATTATGAATTAGCACGGAAGGAAAGACAGCTACATATGCAGCTCTATCCAGGCTGGTCTGCAAGAGACAATTATGTAAGCTCCTCCTGGGTGTGTGTGGTGTGGGTCAGGTCTGCTCTCCCCGCTGCTGCCATGCCTCCCTGCCATCCCTGTAAACAGCTCTCTGCTTTCACTCATTTGTTCTTCCGGTTATCTCTGTGATGGAAATGTGTTTCAGAGTACAGTGGCTCCCCCATTCCCCCTCACCCACAGGGAGAGGGTTCAAGACTCCCAGTGGGTGCCCGAAACCACAGATAGCAGATAGTACTGACTCCTGTAGAAACTGCGTTTTTTCCTGTGCATGCACATCTATGATAAAATTTATAAGCTAGGCACAGTGAGTGATTGGCAATAAAATAGAAGAAGTATCACAATTTCTTGTACTCGAAGTTATGTAAATGTCTCTCCCTCTTCAAAATATCTTCTTATACTGTCCTCAGCCTTCTTGTGATGCTGTGAGATGACAAAACGCCTGCGTGATGAGATGAAGCGAGGTGACTCACTTAGGCTGTGATGTTGTGTTGGGCTACTGCTGACCCTCTGACACTATGTCAGGAGGAAGATCGCCTGCTTCCAGACCCTGGTTGACTGGCGCCCCGAAACCGTGGAAAGCAAAATTACAGACAGGCGGGGACTACTGTATATGTAATGCTCGTACTATTTCCTACTCTTGGAAGTTAATGAACTTTATAATCAAGATTTCTTGGATATATTGCATTTTGCAAGCTTTGAGCGACCATAATTTTTTCCTTTGGTTATATGGCACATTTTTTTAGGTAAAACTTTAATCCAAGAAAACCTTCTCATTAAAATGTTGAAAAAGATTTTTTTTTAAAGCTCATAATCTCCTCATGTAAAGGCAACATTAGTAATGACTAGTTACTTTATCTTCCAGGTATTTTTTCTGTGTGTATGGTTTTTTTTACATGGAAAGAAGTATGTGTGTGTGTGATGTACACTTTTGTGTCATGCTTACTCTTATATATAATAAGCACTTTTCTGGCACAGTGTTTCTGTATATCCATTTTAATGGCTATGTAGTATTTTGTGTGAATGTCACAAGTTGCCATTTTTATTCCTGTTTTTTAGATACTTAGGTTCCTATTTTTTGTGATTGGAAATAAGGTATCTGTGCGTAACAACTTTTTTTCTGTGCTTAGGGCTGTTATTTCTATAGAATAGTTCACAGTAGTGGAATTGTTGAGTTAAAGGACGTAAATATTTTAAAGGCTCTTTGACGCTTATTGTCAAATTTTTTTTCAAAAGGACATTATTTTACAATTCTTGAAAAGAATGTACTCAAGTGACTGTTTTGCCACGAGCTAATCAAAACTGGATTAACACAATTTTTTTTGTTTCACATTAATTACCTTGATGTCTATTATGTATTTTATTCAGATGGAGTAGGTATTATATTTTTTTTAAGTTGTACCATTTGGCCAGAAATACTCCATTTATAGAGCCCGTTATCTTCTTTCTTTAGAATTTGAACATTTTACTAACGTGGTCTTGATACAGCAAAGACTGTTAAGAGAAAGTGTATTATAAATGATAGATTTCAGTTTTATATTTTATGGAAGGGAATGGTTTTGATTATTTAAGCTCCCAATTTAAAATTTCGAAGATCATATTCGTGCTCCATGAGAGTCTGACCTTAGAAAAGCCAGCGAGGACAGTCTTAATATCAGGTCTAGGAATGGTCCCTTTTGAAAAGTGTGAGGGTGAAGCCGTTAATCGATATGTAATTTACTGTGTGACTCTTGGGGTCGATGGTCCTGTTGGCCGCAGGTCTGAGGTCTATGTCCCATACGACACCAAGACTTTTGGAATACATTTGTTTCCTGCAGTGTGCTCCAAAAACAGTCACTGCTGGTGGCCATGTGGAGCTCACTGTGGCTCCAACTGTGGCCACAAAGGAAGGAGGAGCCGTGCTTTTTGTTCCTTGGAAGCAGCAGCTCATCGGACTCTCCTGAGCTGCCGGCTGGTTGTTCTAGTACCTGCCATGTGCCCGTTATCCAGAACTGTCTTACATGTCTTCTGTGATGTTTTCTAATCCTCATAGTAATTCAGGGAGAGCAACAGTGTTATCGCAGGTTATAGATGAGGAGTATCGAGGAGTTGGACAGGTTAAGTCATTGGTCCAGGGCCGGGTAGTGGCTAAGCTGCCGGTTCTACCTGGCCCTCCCAGACATTCAGAATCTGTGCAGTTGGCCTTCTCTGCAGCGGTAACTAGCGGTAACAGAACACTGCTGTAGAGCAAGAGGTCTCTCCCCTGAACCGTGCTTCTGTTTTCTGGGCCGTAATTAGCATCTTTCTGGTCAGATGTGGCCCACGGAGGAGCTGTGCCGTGGATTTGTACAGATGTAGCACTGCTTGTTGAATGTCTTTGAGTGAAGTGTCTGTCTCTGATCCTTAGGGAAAGGATAAAGCTTTAAAAATGGATGAACACATATTCTGACCCTCTGGCTCTCTCTCCTCTTCTCCATATGGAGAGATGGGAAGTAAGTCGTTTTGAAGAAAGCCAGTATAATGTGAATTGACCTTTAAAGATTTTTCTTCTGCACAATTTTTTTAATTTGTTTTTAATTTATTTTCAGTCATTTTATTTTATTTTATTTTATTTATTTATTTATTTATTTTTACAAACAGTTTATTGTCAGTTTTCACATAACACTCAGTGCTCATCCCCACAAGTGCCCTCCTCCATGCCCATCCCCCCTCCCCCCCACATCCATCAGTCCTCAGTTTTTGTCAGCATTCAAGAGTCTCTCATGGTTTGCCTCTCTCCCTTTCCCCCACCATTTCCGCCCTTCTTCTCCCCCTTGTTCCTCCGTCAAGTTCCTCCTAATCCTCCTATACGTGCAAACATATGATATTTGTCCTTCTCTGCCTGACTTATTTCGCTCAGCATAACACCCTCAAGGTCCATCCATGTTGCTACACATGGCCAGATTTCATTGTTTCTCATTGCCATGTAGTATTCCATGGTATAGATAAACCACATCTTCTTGATCCATTCATCTGTTGATGGACACTTAGGCTCTTTCCATGTTTTAGCTATTGTGGAGAGTGCTGCTATGAACATTGGGGTACATGTGCTCCTATGCCTCAGCATTTCTGTATCCCTTGGGTAAATTCCTAGCAGTGCTATTGCTGGGTCATAAGGGAGTTCTATTGTTAGTTTCCTGAGGAACCTCCACACTGTTTTCCAGAGGGGCTGTACCAGTTTACATTCCCACCAACAGTGCAGGAGGGTGCCCGTTTCTCCACATCCTCGCCAGCATCTAGAGTTCTCTGATTTGCTCATTTTAGCCACTCTGACTGGCGTGAGGTGGTATCTCAGTGTGGTTTTGATTTGTATTTCCCTGATGAGGAGGGATGCTGAGCATCGTTTCATGTGTCTGTTGGCCATCTGGATGTCCTCTTTGGAGAAGTGTCTGTTCATGTCTTCTGCCCATTTCTTCACTGGGTTGTTTGTTTTTCGGGCGTGTAGTTTGGTGAGTTCCTTATAGATTCTGGATATTAACCCTTTATCTGATATGTCATTTGCAACTATCTTTTCCCATTCCGTTGGTTGCCTATTAATTTTCTGGGTTGTTTCCTTGGCTGTGCAGAAGCTTTTAATCTTGATGAGGTCCCAACAGTTTATTTTTGCTCTTGATTCCCTTGCTTTTGGGGATGTGTCAAGTAAGAAGTTGCTGCGGTGGAGGTCAAGAAGGTTGTTTCCTGCTTTCTCCTCTAGGGTGTTGATAGTTTCCTGTCTCACGTTCAGGTCCTTTATCCATTTTGAGTTGATTTTTGTCTTCTGCACAATTTTTAAAGGAAATTGTTTTTGTGTAACTTGATTGTGGGACCCCCGGAATGAAGGGAAAACCCAGCTTTGTTACATCATTTTTTAAATAACAATAAAAATAAGCCTATTAATTACTAAGGCAAACAGAAGTCAAGTAAGTGATAGCACTTTAGCTAAAGATAATCTTAAAATAACAGCATCGAAATGGAGTCTAAACAAGATACATGTCTTTTATCTTCAAGTTAGTTGTCAGAATGCCATCCTTAACCCTTACTGCGATCACATTAAATATTGTATCTCAACTATTTAGTGTTAAAAAGTGCTCTATTCTACAGCATCATAGATGTTATAACTTCAATTTGTTCTTACAATCCTTATTTTTTATTCTGAATTCTTCATAAATCAACAGTGCACATATTTTCTTAGGTGAGATCAGCCAGATATTTGTATTACTAGAGCTTTTAAATGCAGTGCTTCCCGGTATTATATATATTTTTAATGAAAAATATTTTTATATTTACCACACACAAATGAGTTTCTTGTGTAAGTTGACATCAGTACATCCTAACTACTTCGATCTTCTAGTCTACCATAAAATGTTGGTTCTCTTGCAACACTGGTTTATACCTAGACCTGTAGTGTAGGCTATTTCACAAAGGCATTGGCGGCCCTACGCCGCAGGCCATAGTCGCTGGGTATGCACAGAGAGGCAGAGATGGGCTGATACACTCAGGTGGTGATCTGAGCCAAGGGCCATGTAGAGAGGGGCTCAGGGACACTGCCAGTTATGGCATTGGGAAGAGGTGAGGTCTGCCTGACGGGAAGTTAGGGTGGGGATGGGACAGGGAGGTGGGGTGGGGCCGAGAAGGTTCCTGGAAGAGCTGGCACTTGAGATGATGTTAAAGGGCAAATGGGAGCTAGGAGGAGAAAGAGGAAGAAGTTCCTGACACAGGAAACAACATCATAGCATCTTCTGAAAACCAACAGTAATGCCATTTGAAAGGAAGATCGGGGAAGCCCATGAGAAGCATGCTCTCCCTCTGCTCCCCTTCTCCCAGAGTACTTTTAATAATGTTAGAGGACTCCATTATTTCTGATATGCCATTTCCCACGGTTGCTTATATCTGCTGTTTGTGAGGACAGTGAGTCAGCCTTCCAAAGCTTTAAAGCCTCAGTGGTCAAGGTCATGTGACATGAAGAAAAATTATCCTGCGGTGCATAAAAATACAGACACATAATACATTCAGTGTAATCTTAGAGTTCTATGTTTTCTTCTCTGTTCATGTGATTATTATGGCAGACAAGATAGAGGTAGTGGACGAGATATGTGTTCTGTTATGGTTATTTGAAAGTACTATCCTAATCCAGATTGGCCATTTACTGTTCACAAAAAGCCAACATATACTGTGTTTCTACCTACCTATTAAAATTACTTTTTAGGAGAAATCATGAAGAAAGCAAGAGTAGACCACTATAAGTGGGACTTAAAACTGTAAATCTGAGAAGGTGATTTTGAGATGTATTTAAGATTTCAGGTTCTGTGTCTGTTTTAGGAAACAAGGTCCTTAATTGCCAGAAATCAGTCTTTGAAATTACCTTTCATTTCTCAGGTTCTATCTTATCTTGCTGCCACTGTCCTTTATCATGTCATGCCTGTGCCGTGGGGACGAGAGGTCCTCAGTCAATATCGTGAGCTTTTAATTATGTGATAGAATTCACCATAAGGAAGATTTCTCACCAACACTGCTGGGAGCAGGTTCCCAGTGTGGTGGTCAGTGATAGGAGGCCTCCTTACGTGGGCTTTCCTTGTATGGGTATCTGTGGCCGCGGCCCTAGGAGCTCCTCAGCCTGGTGTGGCTGTGGGAGACCACTTCCACTGTCCGTACCAATGTTAAATAAGATGCTGTAGAGACAGGTCACAAAGAGGTGAGAATTTGTTTTCTCTTTCTCTCATTCTCTCTGTCTTTGTGTCTAGGTAGAGATGGTAGAGGGAGAATGAGGCACCCCTCTTTGTTGACTGCTTGCCTTTTGTGCTTTTGTATCACGTTCATCCATGTGTTCGTAGTCCAGTCTGTAACATGACCCTGTGCCTGGCTTCTTCCAGGGTAAGAAAAAGAAGAGGAAGAGAGAGAAACTCCAGGAGTCGACATCAGGTAGGCACCATGTGACTTTCCAGTCAATTCTCTGCTTCTGACAAATACCTTTTAAAGTTGTCGGCATCTTCGACACACTGCTTTTGTTCTGCATCTATGACCTGTGATGTTGTAAACTCTGCTTTCCTTCCTGAGATGCCTTAGAGATGTTTTAAAGACCTTTCTTTTAAATGTGAGTGCGTGAAGGTTTGTCTACACACTCCTTCCCCAAACCCTGTCACCTGGAATCCTGGTGGTGTTTCGTCTTGTTTTTGCTTCCATTGTCTGTAGCCTCTGTAACACTTCTGCTGTGTTTTCATTTGCACAACTCCTCACAATAACAGTGTTCTGTTCTGATTTTATAATATGCTACCTTATATGTCCTTGAGAATCTTTTCTGTGGTTTGGGTTTTCTGAAAACAGAAAACATGACAACAGGGTTTACCTTTCCTGGACATTCATTCAAGGCATCAGTGAGTGAGGTCCTATTTATTTCCCCTTTTTCTGTCATTAAAAGTAAGGCCACTACTTGTACTGCACAAATAAAAATGGCTGGTATAAGAACCATAAAAAAAGTAAAGCATCCGAGCCCACATGATGTTGTAGCTACTTCGTGTTTGGAATGTACAAAAATCTCTTCAATAAAAATTTGTTAAAGACACAATTTTCTGCAGGTACAGGTCCAAGAATGACAGCTGCCTACATCTGAAACATGGTAAGAACGACTCTCTGGTCCTACTGCTGACATTAGTTATAAACAGAGGCACTTGCTTGTGAATCTTCTTGCTCATACTGATGCATTCAACACTGCTCCTTTAAAGAGGAAACCCCACCAAAATCAAATTGGCGCTTTGAAAAAATCTGATGGTTTTTATACCGGCTATGTTTTTCCAATATGGTATGCGTTTCTCTCTTCTTTCCTTCCCCTTCTGTCCCTCTAATCTTTCTTCATTCCCCTTCCCTTAACTCTTCACCATTCCGTACTGACCAGTGGCAACCCCCGACCCTGCTGAAAAGACAAATGGCAGAACCAGCAAGCACAATGCCCTCTTACTCTGAAAGCCCAGGGCTGAGCGTGAGGTGCCCAGACCCGTTCCGGTCCAGGACTCGGAAGGTTTTGCTCCATAGAGACTTCTCAGTTGAGATGATCTATAGATACTTAAAAGTAATATATTTGTTTCTAGTGAGAAAGAGGGGTTTTATGTATTTTTTTTTCTGTTATTTAAAAATATGGCGTGGGGACTTGAGTAACTCTATTCTGCTGTCAGGTTCTTTTCTGTGTTGGTAACCATTGGTAGATCCTGGTCAAGTATTTACACGTAATGTTTAGTTGTCGTTTTTTGCTTTTTTACTGTAGTGACTGTATTTTTGACCAGTTGACCACCAGCTCTGGTGGGAACCTGGCTTTGTAAACTGACCTTGTCTTGCTGACCTTGGAATTCACCACGCATTCACCTCTTTCCCAGTGACAACTCTTCCCAGAGGAGCTGCATTTGATTCTGCTCCCTCTCCAGCAGCCCACACCCAGGTCTTGCAGGTCTTTTTGGCCTGTGGTGAATCTTTCCTCTTAACTCATCATGGCCACAGCCCTTGCTGAGGTTCTCAAACCTCCTGTCTGGATTATGAGAATAGCCTTTGCATACTTTTCCCGCCGCCAGGCTTCCTTTCTGCCAGTTCATCTTCCTTGTTGCTCCCAGGGGGATTTGCTAAAACACAGATCGATTGTGTCATTTCCCGATGTAAAAACGGTCGGTGCTTTTTGTTGGACGAAGCGCAAACCACTCAGTGTGGACCTGTCTACCTCTGCCCTGTCCTGGGCTTTCTCTTCGGCTGTTCTTGCTCATCTGCAGCCTAGCCCTCCTGCAAACAGGATTATTAGCAGTTCCCCACATGCGTTGTGGGCGCTGCACATGCTGTCCCTGTGCTTGGAAAGCCTGTTTTCCTTTGCCAAGCAAGGGATAGATGTGCAGTGTTTCTCACGAGAGAGCATTAGCATGCAGATATTTGGTTCTTGGCTAGGACCAGATGACCACCTCCCCCCACCCCCCCCACCCCCCCCACCCCAGCTTAATCTTTTAGAACTTAATTTTGGTGCTGAAATTTCAGTGGACTTTCCCAAAGAAGGTTCTAGACATTTTGATACCAAATAGAAATTTTCAGTCAGCTGTTTGCCGGGGCAATCTACTTCAACTTTTCAGTCTTCGTTTTCGTCAACTGTACAACGGGAATAACACCTCAGCCTGTGGTGGTTTCTCATGCATGCCTTTCTTCTTCCCTCTGCCCCTCACTGAGACCTAACCCAGGCTCCCTGTCCTCTGTGAGACTTTTGTGATCTTCATTCAGATCCCCCAGGCTCTTCCAGTGCCATCATTATACTTTGAGATCAAAACGCTTCTAAACTAATACTGAGTGGCAACCTTTTCCCTGATTGAAAAGAGGATCTGCCCTTCATATAGATGACCAAACAAGGGGCCCCCAAACCAGTATCACAATGTCCATGTTTACTTCAACTTAATGGCTACTTATGAAGGACCTCTTCTGAGCTGGCCTCCTGGCTTGATCCTTAAAAGCACAGAGGACAATCACAGGCCCTGTGTCGTAGTGAAAGTGATTCTAGTGGCAAGTACATACACGTGCTTTTGTATTTTATTTTTGCATTCTTTTTTTTTTTCTTTTTAAAGAATGTTGTCCTTTTAATCACTGAGCCCTTAGGTATGTACAGCAGCCTTTCCATTCTCTGCCTCTAAATGGAAATTCCTTTACAAGTGCAGCATGCTAAGGATTGACATTCACTGATTCACTCCATCTTCTGTTTTCACCAAAATCTTTAAGGCCATATCTGTTGAAAATCATACAAAAATATACATCTACACTTCAGACTTTGGTTTTGTGTCCTTAATGACTAACAGGGTATATAGTATTTTAGACTAGATTAGGTAGAGTGTATCTCTGTCATATAATTTATCTCAAACATCTTTTGTTTATGTCACAGCTATCATTGTGCTTTCCTGTCACTTCCATATTTTTTCTAAAAGTTAAAGTGGCCTTCTGTTCTATCCCAGAAAAAAAGTTAAGTGCTCCCTCCCTCCACACCCCTCTCCGCCCCACTTGTCAGCAACTGCTGCAGTTGGTTGGTTTCCTTCACTTAATCAGAGTTCTGAGTGTTTCTCTTGTTGCTGGGCCAGTCCCACAGCCATTGAAGTCACTGTCCTCCACACTGTCCTCCTTCAAAGGCAGCACTGGGGATCATTTGATAAGAACTGTAGAGCAGAGAGGAGCTCTGATTTACATTCATAAAGATTTCAGGAAATCAGGACTGATACCATCCCTGCCTTCTGCCCTTCCCCTTTGTTTTAGGAATTCAGAAACTCCTGTAAGGTTAATAGTTGACTTGAACGTCCATGTTGAGCACTTCCTGAGCACCTAAGTCATGCCAGATAGCATCGTAAGACCTGGAATGGAAATGCAGTGTTGAGTGAGGCAAAGAAAGTCCCTGCTTTTGTAGTGCTCACATTGCTGAGGGTGGTTATTAAACAGTAAACAGGAAAATAGGAGGGCAATAAAAACAAAACAGGGACTCACTTGGGGGGCGGTCTGCTTTGGGTGGGATGGTCATGAAAGGCTCTTCTGAGAAAGTGATACCCAGTAATGACCTGCTGTCCTTGAAAACCAGAGCCGTCGCAGAGAAACAACCAGGGGAACTGAGCATTGTGCTGTGGAAAGCACTTTGCCTGAGAACGAGGCCACCCAGGCTCTGAGAGGAGCCCCTTCCTGAACTGTGTGGCCTGGGGCAGGTCCTTTAAGGCCAGCAGACCTCCATTACCCACTCAAGCGAAAGTGCTGGGTCCTTAGGCCTCTGAGATACCATGTTCCGGCCGGACTTCCTGGTCTGCTTTGCTCTTCCATGGTCTGCACTGCCTCCCAGTGTTGTTGAAGAGACTCAAGTCTCCTTTATATTTACTGGTTCATAGTCATTCTGTGAGTGGTTCCATAGAACTTACTAAAGCACCTGTATGATCTTGAAAATGACAGGTAGACAGTGTGGCTATTTTTCAGTTCCTGTATAGATCACCTGTGGCCTCCCCTTCTCCACCCAGCGCAAGGGCCTCAGAAGCATCGCCTCTAGTTAGGGAATCTGATTCGCCACTGATGTGAGCATATGGCCCCTTGTTCGCCAGACTATACAGCGACATGAGTGCTGGCTTCACCTTAGCAACAAGCCCATGACAGATAAACTATGTGATTAGAGCTGATCCTGCCAACAACAGGGTGTGAAATTTCAGGCAACTGATTTCAGTTTGGAGGGAAGTTGCTGAATGTTAGCTGAATCCCCCCTGATCTCTTCAGTGAGGAAGAGCTAACGGAACCTAGTGCCCAGGAGGAGAGGATATCGTGACTCCAACACAAAGATGTTTTTTGAGAGGGTTTATTTCTCTTATATACACAGCAAAACTTAACATGCTCTTGGCGTCCTAAAAGAAAAGTGCTGTTAACTTAGATCTTGGAGCTCAGATGGCCACGCTTGAAGCACAAAGGCCAGAGAACCCTCCTGCCTCTGAACTAGTGGAGGACAGTGGACTGTAGGGAAAACATCCCCACTTAAGAAGGAAAATCTCTTCCTCAGGAAACAAAAACGTGCTCTAAAAATTGGTATTTGTGCTCCTTAAAAGATATATGTTTTATCCAATGCATTCATTTTTTGGTTGGAAGTACCATTGCAGCTGTCGCATGCGGCCCAGCATAGAAACTGGCCTTTTTTTTTTTTTTTGGATGTTTTTATTTCTGAGAGAGAGAGAAACAGCACAAGATGGGAAGGGTCAGAGAGAGAGGGAGACACAGAATCTGAAGCAGGTTCCAGGCTCTGAGCTAATTGTCAGCACAGAGCCCGACACGGGGCTCAAACCCCTAAACTGTGAGATCATGACCCGAGCCGAAGTCGGATGCTCAACTGACTGAGCCACTCAGGTGCCCTGAAACTCGCCTTCTAACAGTTCCTCATACACCCCATTGCGGCCCCAACT